CAGATTCCTCAAGTATACGTAGTACAACTGCCTCCTCTTCTAGCTTTGTAAGGCGCTTCGCATTCAGCTCGCAGTCGCGTTAAGAGCGTGTTCCGTCGCGTTGGCGTCAGATTGTTCGTTCAGGCACTTTATAGACTTTCTCAGCGCGTTAGATACTTTGAATTTAGTTTCTTAAGATATTAGATATAGTAAGCTGTACATCAGCTTCAGTATAGAGTGTAGGAGCTTGTTTTGGTTGAGACATTACGCGCTGTTGTTGCGCCGGCGTTCTGGCAGCGAGAGTGCGGCGCTCGGTTGGGTGCGGCGCTCGCTTGTGAAACACGTTATATAGTAAGAGCCTATACTCTAGTTATAAATAAAGAAAATTAGTTGTCTATTATCTGCTGTAGGTACTACTTGCGTGTGCCTACTCTAGTCTCTTAAATAAAAGCTAGTATAGCTTAGATTCCCGTGTTTGTGTCTAGGAGAAGAGGTATTGTAAGTCTTGTCTCCTGTAGGCTGCTTTTTATTTTCTTTCTGTCGCAGCAGATATCATGCCTATTTACCAGCCAATTCAGGGGTGCAAATGTATGTACATTTTGCCTCTATTTTGGCTGCAACACTTTCTTACTTCTCTGTAGTTTCTACAGGTAAGTAGTAGGTGTAAAGGTATTTATATATATCTACAGCTACATTTAATACTTTCTATTTTTTATCTATTATATAGGTAACCTGTTTTATCAGTGAGCGCCCCACCTCAGTGAGCGCCCCACGAACACCAGCAAAGCGCATGCGCGACACTAAACGCGTAATGTCTCAACAACCACAACCTCACAAGCCCTATACTGAAGCTGACGTGCAGCTTGCCCTCTCTGACATTAAATGCAACTAGATTACAAGCCTGCGACGTGCTGAGGCAGTCTACAGCATTCCTTGTAGGACAATACAACAACAACGTGACAGGAAGCCCTCTAGACGTGACTGCAGCCCAGATCAAAGCGCCTGACGAAGCTAGAAGAGGAGGTGATTCTGCAGCGTATACTTGATAATTGATTGATTGATTGATTGATTGATTGATTGATTAGTTTAACGTCCTGTGTGAGTCTAAGACTATATAGGACAAGAGCAGTGAGGCTGCTCTAGTAATTTACAAGGTTTTTCTGTGTAAGGGAATAGTATATATAGGTTTGTAGACATATAGTGAGAGCCTGTGCTCTAGTTATAAACAAAGGAAATTAGTTGTCTGTTGTTTGCTGTAGGTACTACTTGCGTGTGCCTGCTTTAGTTTCTTAAATAAAAGCTAGTGTAGCTTGTATTCCCCTGTTTGTGTCTAGGAGAAGAGACATTGTAAGTCT